CTGTCCCCCCTCTCATCAGTGCCCCTGCAAAGGACAGCAGGGAAGGCGCCGGTCCCTCTCTGCGCCTCCTAGTGCAGCTTTCACACTCTCCATCTTTGCCCTCACTGCTGGGCACTGGCCGAGTGACTGCTCGTCTGCAAAGCTGTGCATGGGCCTCTTCGGCTGGTCCCACTACCCTAAAGCCTTGAGGCAACCGGGTGTTGGGAGGTCTCAGGAAAACGAGTTTCAAGGACGTGTGCTCAACCCCCTTGCCAGGCAGGGATGCTCCCAATTACTCCACTTGCCACGTGGCTCAGATGGGGCGGCGGCTGGAGTTCAGGCTGGGTGGAGTGGAGATGCCACTAACTCTGTCTCCCTGGAGGAGACTGGGGGGCCCTCACAGGGTGCGGTCAGGGGGATGCACAGGGGCAGTGTGCTGCTGTGGGCTCCGCAAATGAAGAGGGGCAGAGATGGGGAGAAGGACCTAAGGGAAGAAGGGCTGGGGAAGGAAAGGCAATGGGGTGAGGGAGGCAGAAAGTAGGAGAATGCTGCTGAACAGGTGAGATCGGAGTCACCAGCCATTTCATAGCTGTCCTCTTCACTGGACAGAAAGAGCAGAAGGGGCTGGGTAGGAGCGAGACGTAGGATTCACCTCGGCCTAAGGTTCCCAGGAGTTAAGAGCTTTCAAGGCACAGGAATAAGTGACTGAGGAACATTCTAGAAATGCCTTCCTTAACATCCTTTCCAAGGAGCAGAGACCCATCATTTGCTTAAGGGTGGATTAAGGCCACTTTATTTAATAGCAGGGGCTGAGATTAAATGACAATAAAATAACAGTAGCTGGACCTGCATTGACTGTTTTAAGCGTGTTCTGTACATTGATTCGCTGAAACAATTTTGAACGGATGGAGAAGGGGGCACCCACGTTCTGGATGGGAGGGCGGTTCTGGGGTGCCCTCCGGAGGGAGCAGATCCTCTCTCCTTCCCCTGGAACGTGGCCGGAGGACACTCCTGTCTGCTCACTCGCCCTTCTCCTACCTTCCCTGGGCCCTCGGAGGAAGCTGACGCAGGCTAACTGAATGCATAACTTTATTAAATAAATGCTTTGTCACGACAAAAGACAAAGATCAAGGAGTAACATAAATTATAAGTTGAATAAATAGTATACAGCAATCTTCACTTTTTTAATAAAACGTGAGATCCTCTGTTTTTTTTTTTTTTATTTTTATTTCTTTAGGTACAAAACACTAAACAGGAGGCGAGCTCTTCCACATTCGGGTGATTTCTTTTCCTGCTTTTCTTTTTTTCCACAAACTAGTTTTGTTTGTTGGTTTATTTTTTCATCCTTTTCACCAGTAAAGATTATGAGCGTTTATTTGGAAAAAAAAAAAAAAAGGTGAAAACAAAAAAGAAGAGAGAACAGAGCTACGGTACGTACGTGTGTCAAACTATAAAGAACTACAGTAATACGTGCTGTGGTTATTGCTGTCTTAAAAAAAAAAAAAAAACCGGTAGGTAACTCGGAATCTGAAGGAGTCTTGTTTGACAACTGTCTATCCCGTGGGCTACTGTGTGGTGGTGGTGCAGTGCTGGAGGAAGAGACGAGACTCAGGCTGGTGGCCGGGGACCCGAGAGGCGGGGCGATGGGCGCAGGGCGGCTGACCCTCCCTGCCTTCCCTCTCCCCATCCAAAAAGGGTTCAAGAGGGGAGGCCAGAGTCTGTAGAAATGGCTACACTATACGCTCCATTTGAAAACCAAGCAAGTTATGTTTAAAAAAAGACACAAAAACCTAAGAGAAAAATAAAGTGGAGGAAAGTGCAAAATAAGTCTTGCACCGTAGTGGTTTTAAAAATAAAGACAGTACAACACCCAGGTTGCTGGCCGGTAAACCCCCGTTCCCTGTCCCACAACTTCTCAAGACTTGGCTTCCTTTCTCTTGGAAGCCAACCTGTCCTCTCCGAGACCAGAGTGTCGCTCCTCCACTCCTCTCTGAAGTTCCCATCGGAGCTGGAGCCCTCTCGGGGCTGGGCGGATGGAGAGGGCCACACTGCCCCACCTTGAGGGGAGCTTGGCAGCTGCGTCGTGGCTCTGTGGCTGCTAATGAGCCAAATGGTGGGAGAGTGGTGGTCGAGGCCCACCTCCCCAGAGGAGTCTGACTCTGCAGGGTTACCATGGAGACCACCGAGGTGGTGATGGGAAAATGGGCGAGGGGACCAGAAAGGGGACCACACAGGGCCTCCCGTCCTCCCCCATGTCAGGGGTTGAATGTCTCCAGGCCTGGCTGTCCAGGCCTGGCTGTCCGAGAAACTTTGGAGTCTCTTCCTTCCCAGACGCCCTGCTTTGCCCTGGGGAGAGGGCGGCTCTGGGGAAGGAGGATCAGTCCTGGCTGGGCCTCCCCCGATCACCTGGCAGCAGTGGGGGTCTACGGGTGTGTCTCCACTGCCAGAGTGAGGCATGAGTCAAAACGGGGATGAGAAGAGACCTCCTGTTGGGGTTGGGGGGGCAACATTTAGACTTGAGGCCATGGAAAACGAAAGGCCTCTAGGTGAGCAGACAGTGGCCGCCAGGCAGCCTGGGGTCAAGACGATCCCTGCTCAGGACTTCACAGCTGGCAGCGCTTCACACCTGCCTTCCCTGACCCCCTGCCCCAGGGAGGGGCGCCATCTTCCTCAGTGACTCCCTCCCCATGGGCTTCCCACACTGGGCTCAGGCCAGACTTTCCCTTTGGGAGGCTGTGTTCCGTCTGTCACAAAGGTCTGGCATCCTCTAGAGAGTAGCCAGCTGACCAGAATCACCCCCGGCAAGCCTTGGAGACTCGCAGGTTTGGGTTAGTCGGCATGAACTTTGGAAACCAGAAGAGACTGGTGGAGTTAAACCAGGCCCTAATCCCTCACCTGATGGCCAACAGCAAAGAGCCAATGTCAGGGGCAGAGGCCCATCAAAGTCCAGTAAACAGCAGGAGTGGGGAAGAGAGAGCCCCCTCTCAGGAATCAGGTCCAGGCCTTGGGAGGGGTGGGGTGGGGTACACAGTTCCTGGCTCAGGCTTTTCTTAGGGGGAATGGCTCCCCAGTATCCACTTAGCAGATCCCAGTTAGACGACTGCTCAAGATCCAAAGAAAGAATGGGCAGAGGGAAGACGAAGTGGGAAAGGTTTACGATACTGGCCTAAGATGTAGAAATGTGAGTTAGGGGTTGGGGACAGTTGCAGAGAGAGTTGGGGCGTGCTGACACAGCAGGCCAAGTCAGTCCTCAGGGCTGCCACCCCCATCAGGCCCTCTGTCCTATGAATAACGACCACTCTCCCGTCCCCACCAGCTGTCCTGTCAGGGGGAGCAGGAGACGTACCCCAAGTTCCACAGCTGCAAGTTGTCTACCAGCTGAAATCTACTTGCTCCTTTGCTGTCTCTTGTCACTGCCCCACGTTTGGTGTTGGTGGTGGTCTCCACGGTGTCATGCCATCAGGAAAGAGTGGAGAGCTGTGCTCACAGCCAGAAGGGGTCTCCTTTGCCAGTGTCCAAGCCCCCTTTCCTGGCAGGCCATCTCCAGCCTCAGGGGACAGCCCCAAGGCCACCCATTTGTTGAGGAACTCAGTGGAAAGTGGGAGTTTTCTTGGTTCAGCATCTGGCTGCCAGATGACAGCACCCCCAAAGCATCCATTGCCTGGCGGTCCTGGGCCTTTCTTCCATCCTCCACCCCAAGGAAGTGGGGCACCTGGACTGGCCAGAGTGGACGAAGAGCTTGAAAGCCTCTCTGGCCTCAGTCCCTCATTGCAGGGTAAGGTGGGCATGTGAGTGCATAGTAGTGCCCCTTCCAATGCCCAGTCTCTACTGATCCTTACTTCGGTCCAGCTGCTAAAGTCTAGAACTCACCTAAAGTTACCCAACTTCCTTGGCTCTAAGGCCTGGATTAAGTTCATTTCTCCACTACAACCTGTCCCCCCATTTTCCTCTCTCCTTCCTCTTGAATATCAGAGGGCTCATAGGGTGGAGACCCAGGGAAGCTTCTCCTGGCTTTGTCCCCTTTCTGTTGCTTTGCTGCAAAGCTAGAACGGGGCAGTCCACCCCGTTCCTCCAGCCCACTGACCCTTCACTCCATCTACCCTGGCCTGAACAATCACTTTTACTGTTTCCCTGTATTCAAACCTTTCCGCCTCCACCTCCCGCTTTGCCTTCTCTCATTTCGGTCTCTCTCCTGCTCTGCCAGCGTGAAGACTGAGAGAGGCTTTCAAAATGCAGGCTCTGTCCAGAGAAAATGAAAAGGCTGAGCAGGACCAGCGGGTCAAACTTGGAGGTGCTGGGCTCATTTGGGGTGGGGTCCAGAGAAGGTGACTTCCGGAGGGTCTGAAGGCTCAAATAGGACGCACTGGGGAGCATGGAGGGCGCAACATTGAGCGCTCTTGTCTACCTGGCACGGGGGTTCATATGAACACACATGCACACGGGAAATCACCAAAAATCCAACCTGTGTCCTACAGATGGTTGAGGGCAGGAAAACTGGTGCTATGGGTTGTGTTAGAAGAATATGGGTTTTCTTGGTTTGCCCAGAATGAGGAAGCTCCTCAAAGCCCCCATAGGAACTACTTTGAAAAGTTAATGCAAACCTTTGAAAGAAAGGAAGACAGGAAAAAAAAAAAAAAAAAAAAAAAAGAAAAAAAGACAGAATAGATTTATATGTCTATACATGACTATAGGGTGCCTTGTAGATAAATACAAGCCCACTTTTTTTTTTTTTCCAGCCTATCCTCCCCTCCAGAGGCTGTGCTCGCTGCGAATTGAATGCGCTGAGGGGCTGAAACCACACGCTTCGTTCTGCACGTAGTTGAGTTTCCTGGAAGAACCAGTCTGTCCACTGTGGGGACAGTGTTGATTTCTAAGTCTGCACGCGGTGGGGGTGGGGGTGTGTGTGGGGGCGTGGAATACACACACACATATTTGTGTATCCACCTCGGAGAACCTGTCTATCTGATATCACTCAGTTATTAATTTGTTTTGAGAGGAATGGAATGCAGTTTCGTTTTTACAAATTTGGGGGAGAGAGGACCCTGTGCTGGGGTGATGGGAAAGGAAGAACAGGGCTGGAGCCATACAGTTGCTGGCTGGAGGAGGAGACAGAGCCGGGAGAGGCACCGACACCTTTGTCTTTTCCTTTTTCCCCGTGACCCATCTAAACTGGCAAAACTCCAAGTGTGCCACAGAATGCACATCTCGGGCCACACCTTCTAGTGCCCACATGTCTCCCCACCTTGGGCTGGGCTGGACAGCAAGGTTGAGCCAGCCACAGCCCCATGCACCTGCCCTCTCGCCCACCTTTTCTTCTCCTTTTCCCGACTCTGTTCATCTTGCCTTCTCCGCTTACACATATACTCTCGTCCCTCTCTCTCTCTCTCTTTCTCATTCTTCCTCTCTTTCCTTCCTTGTTCATTCAACTTGCCTCGAAAAGAAAACCATTTCAGAGGGGGGGTCTCCTTAGCTTTGTGAATCTCCGTTGTTGCCGTTTTCAAAGTTGAGACCTTGCTAGAGATTCCGAGGTCCTCCGTTTCCTCAAATAGATAGATATATGTATTTTTTTTCCCTTAAATGAGATGAAATGAGTGGCATCCTGGGGTGGAGGGAGGCGCTGGCTGGAGACGGGGCTGGGGTGGGAGGGGGCGAGGGAAGGTCGGGGAGGGGGGCATCACTCAACGTTGCTGCTGTCGAAGGTGTGGCATTGAAAGTCCCCGTCGACATACTCCATGCCCGGCAGCTTCATCCCGTACTTGTCCACGCACCAGCAGATGCCACGTTTGCGGCCACGGGAGGGCTTGCACTGGGGTGAGGAGAGCGACAGGCAGTGAGGGCGGCTGTACCCCCAGGCTCTGCTCCTGCCTGGCCTTTGTCTTCCCCGCCCAAATCAGACTCTCACCCCCGGAGAGTTGAGGGGCTGTACCCAACCTTGGGGTTCTGGTGTCCCCTCTGCACAGGGAGGGCCTGGTGAAAAATGCTAATCTGGGCAGTCTGTCCTCAGCTGGATCCTAAACTTCTTTTTTATGGCACCCATTCAGGGTCCTCCACCTTGGTATTCTCCAGAGAACTACATGATCTGATAATAATAATTAATAATAATAATAATAATAATAATAGGAGACATCACTTGTACATCTTTACCACATACCAGACACGACTTACCACTATATGGTAGGTGCTATTCTAAGTGCTTTACAAGGATTAAGCCATTGTTCCTCATAATCATAAGAGATAATAGGTACAATTATTCTGCATTTTACATGAGCAACTGGGGGTGGAGACATTGAATAACTGAGGACAGAGGACACAGCTAGTAAGTAGGAGAGCTAAGAACTGACCCAAGGCTACCTGGTTCTTGACACCTGACTTAGATGAGGGATCCCTTTATGGAGCACAGGGGACACTCGTGCTCCTCTAACAGGAGGAACCTGTTAGAAATGCAACATTCTCAGGGTCCACCCCGACCCACCACCCAGACACCCTGGGGTGGGGCCTAGTAGCTGGTGTTTGAACCAGCCTTTGAGGATTCTGGTGCCCTAGGAGGTCTGAAAGCCACTGCCTTGAGGTCCTGGTACCGCCTCCACAGGCTGAGTATTACTGGTTAATCAGCAGTGGGGTTGCCCAAAGGGTGGCCGGGCTGTGAATGGGACACGAAATGATTCCAGGTGGTCCATGGTGAAAATATGTTCTAAAGTCATGTATATGTCATATTTCTGCGTGTGTGTGTATCAGAAAATAACACATCAACATGTGATATGACACAGTGATCCAAAGTTTCCTTTTAAAATGGAGTCACGAAAATAAGGTGAATAATTAAAAGCTCAGCAGATTATGGCAGAGAAGGGAATGGGGTACGAGCTTGGATGTTGGAGAGTCGGGAAACACTATCATTAATGACAGAAACCTTAGGCGCTTAGAGGCAGAGGTTTTCTGGCAAGTGTCCCTTCAGGAGCCCTCTGAACTTGGGGGCTGGGACAGGACGTACCTGCTTTCTCTTGTAGAATCCTTTGCGGTCGCAGTTGGGCAGGTACACGGCCCGGGGCACCATGCGCGGGCTGGCCTTCAGCTCCTGCAGGGCAGCCTCCATGTGTCTGCGGCAGGGGCCCTGTGTGCGGACGGGAGGGATGAGAGGCGAGGCAGGACCCCAGTGGAGACCCCCTGGACGTGCAGAACGTGTGGCCCGGGGATGGGGGCTAAAGGGTCTGCGGGGAAAGTCATACCTTTTGTTGCAATAAGTTGCTCCCAAAGATCTTTCCTCGCCCTCCCCTCTCATGCCCCCTGGGTGTAGAGAGTGTGCAAACCCTGCATTTGACCAGGCACAGAGGCATATTCTCCCACCTGTCTGCCAGGCCCCCCACCCTCAGCTTCTCTATCCTGCTGAGTAATTACATCCAGAGGTGGCCATCTGCGGATGCTCAGAGAACATTCAGTCTCTGCCCAGGTGAGAACGCAGCTCCTGAGCACACACACCTGGCGTGTGCTCGCTGGGGCTGGCTGCTGGCACCTTCCTTGGGCACTGCCTCTCTTCCTGCTCACCCAGACAAGCCCTGGTCCTGATTCACGTAAGCTCTGAGAATTCTCTCGAATCCCAAGCTGAGCTACCTTGGTCAGTGGTAGGTCCTTTGCTAGTTCTAGCCTACGCATCTCCTGCTGCCACGGATGCTCATGTAGACACAGGGAAAGGTCAGAAGTCGGGGTGGGGGCAGAGGCTGTGGGTGCAAATGCAGGAGACGGGAGAGCATCCTTGAGACTCACCTGCTCAGATTCCTGTCTCATCTCAGGTGCTGAGATGACACGGGGGTGGGCAGTGTTCTCGGCTCCCCCCACGAACTTGGACTGGGTCAGCTTCTTTCTGCGGTCCTTCTTCACTGCCTCAGCCTTCAGGTCGGAGATGCGGGTGTGCTTGGGCCGGAAGATCTTGGGGGAGTAGGTCTCCTCTGCCATCTCGGAGGTGGTGGGCTCCTCATGCTCGCGAGAGTCTCTCTCTGTGGGAGGAGGGGCGAGTCAGAGGAGGGTGCAGATCCCCAGGCTGGGAGGTTTGGGGTGAGGAGACGGGGTCTCTGCCCTCCTGGGGCTGACCAGACAGGGAAAAGCAGATGAATAAGAACTCGGGCGTAAGAGCGGACACTCGTGTGAGTGGTGGGACGTTGCTGGCATGACTGGAGTCCAGTAGAGTGAGTCTAGGAAGACTTCATGGAGGGGGAGAGTCTTGAAAAAGACAGGCTGGTAATGAGGGGCAGTTTGACAGGAGGGAGAGGACATTCTGGGGACCGGAGGGGTGGGGAGTGGAGGGCAGAGGCTTGGGGGAGGGCTCAGGCTGTGGTAAGGGGCTTGCTTGCTGGGGGGCTGGCTAAGTAGATGGGGCCGTGGCTGCAGGTGGGGCTGTGATGTCAGATCCTGGAGATCTAGGCTGTCAGAGGAAAACGGGGGATAGCCCTGCAAGGTCTATTCTCTTGTGAGGTCTTTGTGCCTTCAGGACTGCCAGAGTTAAGCTATATTAGGACTTGGGGAACTGGAAGCAGTAGACTCCTAGGGGTCTGGACTAGTAGGGTGGTGGGAACCATCATGAGGGGCAGGAGAAGGGACATGGGAGAGTCAGAAATGTGGGGCCTGGTGGGGAGCAGTGCTGGAGAGTGGGGGGACACGGAACCCCGAGGCCTGCCTCCCTGCTCTGGCTCAGAGCCGGCTCTGTGCCCTGGGCGGCTGGAACATAACTCAGCTCCAGGCCAAGAGAGGCCGACAGCTGGCTGGGGCCGGAGCAGTTATATATAGGAGTGACTTGGTGACAGTCTATACTTAGCTGACTTATGACCTTTAAAGAAGTAAGACTTTGTTCATTTATTTGTTGATCTGTTAATTCCACCCGCCCGGCCTTCCTTGGTCCGCAGATTTCCACTCAATTGTTATCTCACAGGCACCCTGCTCTGGGTTTCTCCTCTCAGCTCCCTGACCCCACCAGCCTTGGCAGATCCATGGTGGGGAGGTTTCGGGTTGCTTTTCCCAGGTGGCCAGGGCGTGGCCAGGATGCCCACGTGAGACCACGTGCAGGGCAGGGCGGGCGGGGGCAGGGAGGCCCTGTCTTCATTGCCCTCTTTCCTTTTCAAATTCTGGAAAAAGGAAATCGGGTTTGGGGTGACCCCAAATAACTCAAACAGGGAGAAGGAAAATCCTGTTCTCCACCCACTCCACTATCACTGGGCTATCCAGGAGCTGAGATGGCAAGGTGTCGGGGATGGAGAACAGAAGGAGAGGATTCCAGGGAGGTGGGGATGAGGGGAGGTATGGGGGAGAGCGGTCAGTGAGCAGACACTGTTTTGTGTCCCTGGGGCAGGAGCTCTCAGCCCAGGGGAGGATCCAGCTGTGTGCTAAGGGAGGCATTTGGGCCTAACCTGGTCAGGACGGCAGGTGGCAGGAGGCACCCGGGCACCTGTTTGTCTCCTGGCTGGGGGTTTGTCAAATTTAACTGAATACGTATCCGGTCTTTAAGGCCCTGGCAGGGAAGCTCCAGGCCCTAAAGAAGCTACCAAGGTGTGTGGTGTTCTGGGTGGTTAGGTGATATGGGTATTTATCCACAGGACAGGAAGAGAAGAGGCCACTGGAGAGGAAGATGATGGGCAGAAAGTAAATCACAAAGCAGTGGGCAGGCTCTCCCTGAGTCCGCCTCAACACCACGCTCCCTGTCCCCCGCTTCCGGCCGTCCACTCCCCTTTTACCATGTCTTGACTCTGGGCTCTGACTTGATCACAACCTGCTGTGATGATTAATCTGCATACTGATGTGCTGGGGAGGTGGACTGTAGCCTTCTAGGGATTAGCCAAAGGAGTGATGTTTTGGGGTAAACTAACTTTTCTTGGTTGGGATGAGCCAGAATTGGGGGTGGATACAGGGAGAAGCATAGCTGGTTTGGGGGGCTCTGTTATCTAGTAACTCAGGCCCAAACCCAAGGCTCAGGTCTTGGGGAGGGCGATGAGGAGAGGAACAGCTAACCATGGCACAGAAGGCTGCTGGGCCCATCCTCCTGAGTGACTTGGGATATTTCACTCAACCTCTCTGGGTGTCACCGAGCATTCTAATCCTCAAAAAGCAGTTGACCACTGGGGTAGAGGAGAGGGCAAGAGATGGTTGGCATGGAAAGGCTGGGAGCATTCTGGGGGTGCATGGCCACACCCCTTCCCCAATCAACATTGTAACCAGCTGAAGGGAAGGGGAGGAGGGCGAGAGGGCTGGGGGCTGACCAGTGCAGGAAAGATGAGCAGCTCCTCAGTGGCCGCTCCAGCCTGGCTTGCAGGGCCAGCAAATTGCCCTCAGGGGCTCCTGTGGAGCTGGGCCCCAGGAATCGCCTCTTCAAGGATAGAAAGCCCAGAAAGCTGCTCACCCCCAGCGACGGGCTGTACCAGCTCCTGGAATCCCTCCAGTAGACCATCTAGTCCATCCCCTGTGTCCTAGCAGAAACAAGTACATAAACCCTCTCCCCTTCCCCTGGCCTCCCCAAGGTGGGGCTCCCGAGGACACACCCTCCCCAGTTTGTGGCTCTGTGGCTGCTTCTGAAGGGCAGGCTTAAAGTTTTGATGTGTCTCCCGGGTTTTGGTGCCACTTAACCCCATGGGACCTATTACTTAGGCAGCGGGAGTCAAGTGTCAAAGATACTAATCAAGGTCTTGTGGTCACCTGTAGGCTCCAGAGACAGTGGAAACTTGGAGCAGAGCCAGGGCAGAGCCACGAAGATTAAAGGGCTGGAAAGGAAGACCAGAGCTGGATGCCAGAGCCAGCTAGCCCTACTCAGCTGCTCTGTGGCCGAGTCATAAATAGGCTTTCAATTTTGGAAGGGTTTAAGTTTTAGATAAAAGAAGAAGGCACCAGTAGACTGGCAGCCCCTGAGCTATTTCATCAAGAGAAAATAGACCGGGGTTGCAGAAGGGATTTAGGTGGGATATAAGGGAGGACTTCCTGGTGAAGTTGCTCTGCACGTGAACAGCAATGGAAAGAACTCAGCGCAGTGGGTTCTGGAAGCTGTTTGACAAACAGGTCAATACCTCCCTGTGGCCAGTAGATGGCGGAGGAGACTGATGGCCACACGACATGTTCCCCGTGCTTATTTCCAGGGACTGTAAGCAACATTAAAGTCTGGAATTCGTGTGCCTCCCTCTCCTAGTTCTCTGACAACCACTCAAATCCTCTCCTTCTCTCTGGGTGTCTGCAGCATGCATTTTAAGAGTCAGGGATGAGTGAGGGCTGGGAAGGACCCATGTGAGGGGAGGTTGGAGAAGGCAGGTGTGGGAACCGGAGGGGTGGGGACAAGGTTTATCTGTGCATAACCCCCTGCTGTTTCTTTAATCTGTAACTGAAAGATGATCAGGGATAGAAGCGAAACCCATCCGGAAGGAACCTTCCTTCCTATCTCTAGGTGTCACTTTGAAAGGATTCTGCAGAGGATGGGAAATGCAGGATACTCATACTGTTCCCACCTCTGGGAACCTGGGGAGGCAGAGCCCTTTAATTCCGTGATCTTAGCCAATGACTAAGGAAGCGAGGGCTGTGATATTGTCCTGATATTCAGCTTTGGGGTGGGTTTGCTCTGACTTCTGCCCCAGTCCTGCCAACCAGCTCTCTGCTGTGTTAGGGTGAGCAGCTCAGTTCCTCCCTCATTCACGAGGCGCTGCTCACTCACACTGGCACAGCAACATCCACTGAGGGGCATGTGGGTACATGGGCCCTATGACAATGTGAACACCTGCTTGAGGAGCACGCCACTCTCAGTCCCAGCAAACACAGAGGGTGTCTGGGTGCAGGCCCGGCCACTGTGGACCCGGAGGCACCCTCAGGTGGGCAGTGTTGTTCACAGCACAAGTGCACAACGCACTCTCCCTGCCCAAGCTCCCCCACTGTCTCCAACCGCCCTCTTGATGCTGCTGTTCTCTCGCAGGGGCGGGATGGTTTAGCAGCAGGACCAGGCACATGCACTTAAGATGCGTTCTGATCCCGCCCTGCTCGCGGGTCACAGCAGTGGACGGGTCCAGTCAGGGACCTGCTGTTTCCTGCAATCTATCCTTTCACCTGGGGCTCTTGGTCACAGCCTGGTCCTGGCTGGTGCTAGTCTCCCACTGTATCTCGACCTCATAATCAAACTTAAGAGAAAACCGGGTGGCCTAGATATCAGGACTTTGCTTCCGGAAACTGAAGAAACTGAGGCATCCTTAGAATTCACAGCTCAGGAAGAACAAAGGGCTTTGCCAGGCCACCTGGACCTGGGGAAAGGAAAGTCTCTTTTTCCAGCCAGAAGACAGAGTGGGTTCGCCCAGCATCCTCCACAAGGACTGAAGAGGGGAGCTGGGTTTCCTCTGGCTCTCATTCTAGCTCCCTCTGTGCAACTTGAAGAGTCAACGTCTTAAGGGCAGTGCTTTGTTGTTCATCATTGTCTCTCCAGCGTACGGTATTCAATAAATAATCTTTAAATGGAGAGATGCATAGATCTGCTCAAGAAACAGAGAGAAGTGGGTCTCGAAGCATTTCTGTCCTATAAGCTGGTGCACGGTTAGAGCTCAGGACATGCCCTGAGAGGTGATCTCACCCATGCCCCTGACTTCAAGCATAGTAACTCCACAGAGGGAGCAAGGAGGCCGAAAGATGAGGCTTGCAGGGGTGGGAAAGAAGTAGGGGTCCCCAGGATTTACTGGGTTTCTTTAGTCTAAGGCTGTGCTGTTTAATACGGTCGCTACCAGCCACACGGGGCCATTTAAATTAATAAATATGAAGTCAAATTACAAATTCAGCTCCTCAGTGGCTCCAGCCATATTTCAAGGGCTCCACAGCCACATGTGGCTGGTGGCTACTATCTTGGACAGCACAGATTTAGAACATGTCCATCACCACAGAAATTTCTACTGGACAGCGCTGGTCTGAGGACACTGATCCACGTCTGGGTATGGCTAGATGCTCCGTGCCCCCTCCCCACCTTGGCTGGTTACCTAGGCAACCTGCAGCCTCC